TTGTATCCAACATTTTTTAAATAAACACTCACTAAAAATCAAATGATACATTCACTAGAATTAACCTCACTATTACCTCGAAATTACCTATAGATGTATACTATTGAATATGTATTAATATTTCATAGGTAAAAAATATACAATTACAAACAAAAACGTTTTCTATACATGAATCCAATTATTGAAAAAAACAGCTTACTATGTTTAAAAAAATAATGTCTTCCATATGTTCCACTCTTGTTAAAAAATTAGTTAAAAAATCTTACAATTCACAAACAATTAATATAAGGCTTGTATAACGATCATATTTATGAAAAAATAATAAATTTTAGTTAAAGAATTCTACTAAAAATAAATATTTTCAACTACTACGTTGAGTTCTGTGAAACTCTATATTAAAATCATATATATGTTGAAATATTTTTTATATATATTATAAGTTTATTTGTTATTAAAATATTGTACCTTAATTAGAAAATCACTCACTTGATATCTATACATTTTTTAAATTAATATAAGCTTTTTACTACTAATAGTTTATAAAATAGTATTGTTTAGATTGCTATTTATAACACCTGGAAAAAAATTATTATTATTATACTTTCAACTACTGTTTTCTATGTCTGAGTGATATATAGAAACTAAAATTAAACTTTTTAGAAATGATGAATAATATTATCAAATGTTTTCCCAATAACTCACCAATGAAACTGCCGATTGTAAAACAAACATTAAATATTCACGGTTAAGATTTCTTGAATAGAAATCAAATTAATGCAAATTATTTAAATATTTTAACCGGTTGTGTTGCATAAGAAGTTTTTAACCATATGATCATAATGCAATAGTTTTTATGGTAATCGACTGAGATTACTTGACACTGAAAAGTTTTTTGCATTCAGGAGCAAATTCATGTGGTAATCACCTATTACTTGATAAATTGATATAAAAAATCAGAATGGCGTAATTTTAAGTGAATTTATCGAAAAATACAGATGTTACTAAAACTTCATGTTTGAGGTAAAAATCAGACAAATCGTATTTGAAAGCTTCTTCAAACTTTTACTTATTTTCGCTAGCGATACAATTCTATATAAACTTGTAACTTTTTAATCGTAAATATTATATTGAAATTATTTATTAATAAAAAGAGCAAGTCCGAATTTGTTGATCAGCAAAGATTAATACTGCTTATTTTTGTTATGATTTTTCTCAGTGTTTGTGATTTCGGAATTTTTGAAAAATTGTTTAAAATAGCAATCGGCTCTCTGTCTATTAACAAATAGGCAAATATGTAATGTGTGCCACAATCTACAATATAGACAAAGATAATCTCTACAATATTTTCATTGTTTGCCTTGAACTCACGAAGTTCATTGAAAGCTCGCAATTATTTTGCGCGACACACCCGCTTTTGGCAAAATAACTTTCAAAACATTCCGTTAAGAATTGTTGCTGTACTCGAGGCGGAATAATACGACGATTATTATTTCCTTCAGATAATAAAATACCTGTAGTATATTATTTAATCACATAAACGAGTGAACATTGAATAACTTCTAGTGACATACGTTTGGACCTCACTAGGTCATCAATTTTAGTGGATTTATAAAAAAATACAATGTTACTAAAATCCATGTTGGAGATAAAAATCAGACAAATAATTTTTGAACTACTTGAAAATACAACTTAATTTCTATTAAAACGCTGTTTATTTAACTTATTAATATTTTATTTAAATAAAATTATTTTATTTTATTTAAACTTAGGGGGCGTGGGGGTTAGCAAAAAATCACGAAAAATCACATGGGGGAGGGAAGGTTTTAGTAAGATATCACGTGTATTTATTTTTTACCTAAATTTTCTAAAAAATTTAAATTTTACGTTTTTTTTCTCAAATTCGAAAAATTTGTTCGGAAAATGTTACGTAACTAAAAGTGATGTTTGGTGGGGGAGGGTTTAATTCTTGTAATTAAAAGGAAATTTATATTTTATTCTGGTAGAATTAATTAAATATTGTGCTTTAAGCAATTAAAATAATCTTTGTTCTATAATTTTGTATGCAACGTGCCTTTGATAAGTCCTTGGTTTATAGAACGTTATATCTTTGCAATGCTATATAATTTATTATATATATGTATATATATATATATATATATATAACTCTGAAACGATTATATCTTTTATTTTATCAGCAATAAATGAACTTGCTCATATATAAACTCTTTATTTCTATCTCATTATTTTTATTGCAAAAACTGCTAAACTTGTGCATCATTCTTTATAATCCAATTTATTTTTTTATTTATTTTGATGATAAAGTAAATTACTATAACTGACCTTCAAACTAAACCCAAAAAACTTTGACATCATAATTATGATATTGAATATATAAGAAAAATCCCTCATTCTGAACAAAGTCGAATGCCGATGCATTTTTTACCTCAGGCGAAATGTACTTTCCAAAAATTCTCAGTCGTTTCGTGACTAACGCGTTAATTTCATATATTTTCTGTCGACAAGCATTATTAAATTATAATTATTCATATCCGACTCTTGGTCATTAATATTCTATGTTTAAATTAAAAGTCGAAGAAAAAAAATAAAAACGTTAACTAAATTATAGCTTTCAATCATAGGAAACCTGGAAATGGAAAATCGTATGAACATCTAAATTTGAAACTTAGGTAGTAGATAAGGGAATTTTACAGACCTGATTTAAAAAAAATTAATCCTTATTTATGACCTTACATAAAAAATTGTAAAATTAAATCTTGTGGCAAACATTTTCCAAAAATTAAAAAAAACGAAATTAAAAAAAAATATATTTATAAAAATAACTGCATTTTTGAATTATGAATTTAATGGGCAAATTACTAAATATCAGACTCAAAAATTGTAATAATTTAAACATTTTTTTATGTTAATTTGGATTATTTCCATCCGATTAATAATAAATTCATCGACTCAATGTAGATTCTATATTTTGAAGCAAACATGTAATTTAGAAATTATTGAATAATAGCGATAAACATTTATTGCGAGATTCCGATATTACCATAATTTTCTTTTATCAATATATAATCGAAAATATTCACATTGTTCATTAATATTAATTTTTGAAAGTTTTATAATAAAACCACAAAATTGACACCGCAGGTCATATGCTCACGGTCTTCACTTTCCCTTAAATATCGAAGTGAGAGTTAAATCATTTTAAACAAGAAAAGAAAATAAGTGCATATCATAAGAGCATGTGCAATTATTTATCGATAAGGAGATTTATTAAAGAAATTTAAATTTTAAGATCGGACGATATGCAAAGAAAGTTAAGAAAAAATGCATCGTAAAATATTTTGTTTAACTTTACCATTCATTGTTGATTAATTAACATAATAATCGATATGTCAGTCATATGTGTCTGACGGTAAGAAGATTTACATGAGTTGTGTCAGACATATATGTCCTACACAAACGATATACATTTGCAGTATGTTTCGAAAGCTAGACCTATCAGGAACAAAATCTGAAAATTCTTTGGCTTAAGAGCATATAATACTTAATTTATGGCCATGTCATGATTTAATATAGGGCCACATATGTGTCACATAAATAATAGTGTTTTTCCAGGAATTTTGACTTTTTTTTTTGATACATTAAGTTTCCTCGATACATTTTAACTACATTATCTAATAAAATTACCATGGCCCATGTAAAAATTTTCTTTTATATTACCATTTGCCCGTGTGAATTTTTTTCTTATATTATCGTGGCCATTAATCAATTTTTAACTTACCGTAGGGTAAGTTATAGTAATCGCAAAAAAATCGAAAATGAAAATTTTTATATATCTTTACGTTTCAGAGGTTTCTAAATACTTCGGCATACCTTAGAAAAATGGATGTATATGTGTGTGTATGTGTGTATGTATTTGTGTACGGATACAAATTTTCGTCGACGATTTCGGATACACCGATCAACCGATTTGAATAGTTCAAAAAACATTCGATTCATATTGATAAAGAGACGTGCTGATTAGTTTTTGGCAAAGGCAGATCTAGCCGTTCCGAAGATACGGGGCAAAAAGTGCCAAAAATGGTAACTTATTTTTTAAGAGAACGGAGCGTCTGATTTGAATAATTCAAAAAACATTTTACTTGTATTGACAAGGTGAAAAATTGATCAAATTTTCATGGAGGCAGGTCTAGCGGTTTCGGAGATCTAGTAAAAAAAGTAAAAAAAAATGACATCTGGCGGTCAAAAATTTTGTTCTCAAAAATCTAATTTTTCAGAGTAATTTTTTTTTTTAAATGTTAATCTCAAAGTTAATCTTAAAGTTTCAGCAATTTGCCTTAAGGCACAATGTCATGCACCTCAATAGTTATTTCCTTAATCACAATATCGGAAATAGCCATAAGAAATTAATACTTTCACTGGTGTGCATCAAGTATGAAAATTTTGGCATGTGTACAAGAATAATACGATTAATTGCTGTATTTAAATGCATACTCAACTTAATTGGATTATTATAAACAATTATCTTTATTTAAAACAGAAAACATATTTATACGTGTCCATTGTTAAAAGCAAAATATAAAGATAATAATGTAAAAGAAATTAAATTTTAATTATAAATATTGCTTCTTATTGCATTGTTCAGATATTAATGATGATTCATCTCTCTGTGGAGAAATTATTGTTTTTTAATTCGCAGAGATAAGTTTCGATATTAAATAACATCTCAAAACTTTAATAACAAAATGTTTGTTCGCAGGTGACCAATGCATGGACCGCCTAAAGCCGCGCGACCGGACCATGTGATTTGAACCAGACGCAAAAGTGGGGATGTCAAAATGTCCAATGTTGACAGTTGTGGTTCAGCGGTCGCCGAAAGCGGTAGCATCGCGGACAAGGCGCCGCCGTATTTGTCCAAATGTCACCAAGAAGAAGAAGGTTCGCAAAATCGAACCAAAACAAATAACAACGGTTCCATATCAAGGCGATTGAAGAAAGGCAGAGTGGCCGAGCTCTCCAGCAGGTTCGATTGTCCGCCCGATCGCGTAGTGGTACGCGTTCGCCGGAACAGGATCGAGGAAGTCAAGGTATGTCGAGCACCTAGTACTGCCCGGTCTTTCAGAAACGCCTCGAAAATGAATGAAACTAGCAAAACTTCCGCCGATGCCAAGAGGAAACCGAGTTTTAGGAGAACCCCTGGAAAAGTCAGGGAAGCTGTTAGAAAACTGGAGAATTACAAACTGCAGGAAAAAACTGTGCCAGAAAAGGTTGAACCGAAGGAAGTTAAAAAGCTCGATGCAAAACCACAAGTTGTCAAAGACAATAAATTAGAAGAAATAAGAGAGTTAAAACAAACTTCTAAATATGGTAAATTATATGAAAAGCTTCGTTTAAAACCGACTGCTAAAGTCATGAAGAAACCGATGACTTTGCCTAAACCTGATCTAAAAACTCTGGAAAATAGCGCATTAAAAAACGGCAAAAGTTTATTTTTGAACCAACCACCTATTCAAAAAAAATTACAAACTCCCAACATAAAAGACAAAAACACTTCAAGCATATCTATTGAAGATAAGGAAAATCAAAACAATCTTTTACTGAGCGTAATTCCAGAAAAACCTATAGAGAGTCAAGAATCTCTGCAATCACCTCGAGTACCTCCCAGACCTTTCATGGAAAATACTTCTAATACCCAAAATTCTGAAGATGCTTTGTATACCAACTTATCTAACGAATGCAGTATTAAACAAGATATAAGTGACGAAGATAGGCTCTATCAAGAAATTAAATCTCGGATAAAGCCTAATCAATCGTTCCTATTTCGATCTATATCTCAAACTAATGATGTATATATGAATCTAGTGGAAATAGATGAACAACAGTGTGACAATATAAATAAAAGTGTAAATAATAGTGATAGTGTAAATAATAGTTATAATGATATTTATCTTAGTCCTAAACCGAATTCTTTGAACAATTCTAAATCATCTGTACATACATCAAATCTGTCTATAGATAACTCTATAGAAACTCTAAATAAATATGAAGGCGTCATTTTGCGAAGAGATTTAGCATCAAGGAATGTAGATAACGAATATGATGAATGCCAAGATGTTACCATTGTAAAGAATATAAAAAATGGATCTGTTTATTCAGAAAGGCATTTATATCAGCGTTTATCTGACTGTTCCTCGAAACTGTACGACCATTTAAATTATGAAGAACATAATTACGAAGTGTGCAATGAACCTTTGCCACCCAGGAATGGATTATCAACAAACATTAGGCATTCAAATTTATCTGAAAGCTCGGACGAACGTGTTTGTTCGCTGTACGAAACAATACCGGCAGCCACTATTGATTGCGAAGGTAATTTCTCATAAATTAATACATTCTTTTCTCTTCTTAATTATTTTAATTGTGTTATTGTAGTTTTAATGGTTTAAACATGATTAACCATTAGTCCAGAATTAACTTTTACCACTTTCTACGTTTTTTGCAGTTGCAAATGATGTAGACAAATATTTGGCATTTTATTTATGACAGAAAATTTAAGTGAAACGGTAAATTCTATTAACACTTGGCTTTTCGGTGCCACTTTGTCGAGTTCCTTGTTTTATATTGGTTTAATATACTTGTTGAATGAACTGTTTCGATCACACGTAATGTAAATATTTTTTAAATAATTTAGCAAAAAATATTTTCTTGTGAAACCTGCATTTATTATTAAACAGGCAGTAATTCCAATTTCAGTAATAGAAAGCAACAATATCCATTAAACAAAATATTATTATTTATCATTAACAAATTCATGAGCTGATAAAGTTTTGAGTTGAATATTATTATTATTAACTTCTCAGATTACTAATGATCAATATTTATTATTAGATGGTGAGACTGAGAACGTCTACGATGTTGTCCGAGGCGGTCGAGAGGAAGAAGAGTGCTACGAGTCAATTGGTGGCGAATCACCAATTCCAACGCCCAAAAAGTTATCGTCCAAAGATATGTTGCCTTTGCGAAATTCCAACATGATTTCTAAACGAAGGTCGACGTCGGTGGATAGAGTATCACCATCATTATCTTCGGATAGACAAAGTAACAGCCTGTATGGCGCCAACGAATTGAACGACCTGGACAGCGACGGATGGGAAGACATTCCGTCTTCAGAATCGGAGCAATTTCGGCCTAAAAAAGGGCCAGCCGTTGTTATGTAAGATAACTTTATTTTAGTAGGTTAATGTTATAATAGGATATTTTAAAATATTTTTCATTTTACTTCAGAACCTAATCAATTTACCATGGTCCGAATTTTTGTTTCCCATGAAAAAAAAGGAAAAAATCAGTAATTATAAGCCTATATATATGCAAATGAGAACAGAAAATTTTGGTCAAAAGCAGTTGTTTGATATTAATGAATTACACGACTTCCAAGTTACAGTGGCCTATAATCTCGTATATGAAAATGCTTCTTCAGGTTAAAAAGCCTAGCAAAGGCTTTAAATATTGATAATGTTTGTCTCGGCAGAGTTCAAAAATTAAGATTTGTCCGTGTTCTCACGAAAGCAGCCATAACTATTTGGTAAAAAGTCGAAAAAGTAGGTAGACTGATGATTCACACTCATGTAAATAATGGCTATTTAATATATTGAAAGAATCAAAGTACTCCAATTTTTGGATTTTGGAAGTCAGACTATATAATGATATGATTATAATTTTCCTTGCTAAAAATAATATAAATAATGTAGATTAGTTTTACTAGATCAATCTTGATAAGTTAGGATTCAATCACTTTCACCTATCAAACTTTACATGATTATGAGCTTTCAGTTAAAGAAATTAGGCATCTAGTTTTCAATAAAGATCTGCTAGAGTAGATTTATTTGAGATATTTGACAGTTTTAACTAAGAACTGTTAAAAATGATCCAATATTTGGTGAATTGCAAATATTTCATTTAGGCTTATTGCAATCTAGTGGTTCTAGCGATCCAGTGATCTTACGGTTTAGATTTTTCTGTAAAGAAAACATATAAAGTATTATAAATCGTTAAAAAGGTCTCAAAATTCTTAGTTTATCCTGTATATCGCAACTTCGAATTCTGCACAGTATGGCCTACAGGCAAGTTGCTATCGATAAATTCCAATTTTTAAATGGGCCACCCTATATTAGTTTAAAATAGACTTGATACAGTTTCAGGGAAATTGTTGTTTTAAACTTGAATAGAGAACAATTTAGAGATAATAATATCACACTTGAGGATAAAACACTTATTTTGTGTGAATAGTATAATTAAAAGAAATCAAAAACAAATTTAGAACAATATAGTGTTAGATCGATATCGTTAGATACAAGTGAGATCTACAAATTCTAAATCTAAAAAATCTGGCAAAAAATTGTTTTACCTGTGTGGTATTATTTTTACAAATTAGTATACATGTATACATAATAATTTTTTTTTAAACTGAATATATTTTAATAGTAATTTGATTTTTACAGAATTCGGGAAAGAGCCAGGTGCCATCGAAGTCCTTCCTGGTCGCGTAAAGTTCGAAGGCAGAGAAGCAGAAAAGGTGCTAGGAGAAAGTGTAAGTAATTTTTTTGTTAATATATATTTAATAGGCGTTCAATAAAATAGCACATTGATTATTAAATACTTTTGCTAAAAAAAATTAAATTTAAACACATATTTTGTTTGGATATATTTTGTGGAGAATGAAATTAATCTAGTGATTAATTATATACTCAAGGAAAAATATCTATGGGTTGTTTTAAAATAGACAATTAATGCTGAGATGTTGTCACTTAAGTTAAACGGTTAAGGATTATCCAAATGAGTATCTCTACCAACACGGTAATTTCAATTTTCTTGTGAGAAACAACGATAAAAATAGTTCCAATATCTTTATATAAGCGAAAGTAACAATTCTTGTTTCAAACCATTACCTGAGTTAGACTTGAACGGTAGATGGACATACATATAATATTGAGTTTGTTCATCACGAACATTCATACAGGTGCATATTTTGGTAATTATATTAGTGCAACTTTGGACAATTATAATATTTTAAAATATTTATCAAATGTTTCAATACATATGCGTGTGTATGCGCGAATGATATCTGGAGCAATTTTGTAAGACACGTAAAATAGTCATCATCAAAAATTACTGCAGTTTTTAAAATAACAACTGTAAAATATATTTTTTTATCGTTTAAACTATATACTACAATTAAAACAATTGTACTAAGGTGATATTAAGTAAAAAATTACATTATTATTTTGCATACATCATTGATGGATCCCTAAAACGCTCGTTAAATTTGCCGTTGAAAATTAGGAAAGGGTTAAAAGCTAATTTGTCTACCAGAAACATAATAATGTCGTAAAATATATTATATTTAGTTGGCAAAAATTAATAATTTAATTAATATATTTATTAATTGAATATAACTTTTTATTTAATTATTAATGTGAATTGCCAGAAATTTTGATATCATAAGCGAGTAATAAAGAATCTTATATTACTTTCAACTTTTAATCAGATGTGCCGCTACCAAAACCTTAAAAAATAGTGTTGATTTAAAGCAGAAGTAAGAAATTAGGTTAACAATGTTATACAATTGAATTCATCATGTAATAAACATTGTAACGCATTTATGAAGTCTAGAGAAAGTGAATAAAAAATTTCTCCTTATTCGGTTGAGCCCACCTGCCGCTCTATTTAAATCCGTATGGCGCAATATTTACAAAGGTAACTTATTATTGATTTATCTCTTGAAGTAATTAGAGTATAAAGTAATTTTTGAAATACAAACAAATAATTTGATAAGAATAATAACGGTACTGAAATGGGATTTAGTCACAAAATGATAACTAGTCACAAAAATGTTTAAATTTTAAGCTTCTCAGTTTCTATTTCATGCGACATTTTAATTTTTAGGAATTTTATGAAATAATAGCTACATTATTCGACCAATGCAAAATATAATTTGATGGGTACATTTTTATAGAGATAATACTGTATATAACATTGATCTGGAATGTCGACAGAAATATTCATCAGCGGAATTAGAATAACCATTAATTCGATTTATCTCTTGTAACCATAAGTTACTCTTTTATTTACTATTTTTTATAGTTTGCACTTTTTCCAGGGTAAAGATTAATTTGGATAGAAATATTTCTATCTTAAAATTATATAGTATCATTTCTTCTAAGCAAATGATGAGCTTTGTAACTTATCTAATTTTTATTATTATATTTACTATGACACATAGCTCGCATAACGAGTTTTTAAACCTTGGACAGAAGAATTCATATACACTCTTGTCCAAGCACATTAAGTTTTGAAGACTATAATTAAAACTATTCAAATAAGTGATAATAAATATGTTTCACCTTCCGATGTTATCAGTCTTGTTAATAACAATCGAAATGCGTTGTTATTCTCATATGAAAGTTCAATGTCACACACAGTCTTTATTCTTCCCACGTTAGAAGACATCGAATATTTTTAGAGGCGTTTACGATATCAGAATGTCCTAAGAAATATCTTTGCCACCCACTAATTATAGTATAAATAGTAAACACTTCTAATTAGAAAAATAATTTGAAGGTAGTCGAAAACCACAACTGAAAAACTTATATAGATCAGAAACACTGTTTCTCATTGTTAACTTTCTGAAACAGTTTATTTGTTGTGAGTTTCTGCAAAAAGTCTTATATATAATCCACACAATAATTTTTTATTACCAAATTTAATAATACAATATTTAATTAAAATATTGCATTTAGAAATTTGATTTTTTTATGATGCATTCAGTTGGTTTTATAAATTTGAAAGCCTTTTTTAAATTGGTTTGGTATTTAGTATTTTGTCTTACAAAGTATGAAGTGAGCTCTTGGAGTTATAATAAAATTGATTTAGGGAAATGATTTTTTATATTATTTATCAATAAACAGTCTGTGCAAACAAATTTTTAATATATATCCATTTTAAATATCATATAAAATTTTTCATTATATTGATTAACAGAATAAATTTGAATAATTTATCTATTTATATCTTTGATGCAAAAATTTATGTTAATGTCAACGAAATAAATTAGTGATTCATTTTACCAGTGAAAGTGAATAAGATCAAAAAAATACAAAAATTCCAAAAAGCTATAAAATAAACTTCTAAATTTAATATAATAAACTTAACATAGTTGACCATTTCATAACATGCCTTATTGACTTTGAATATTTTATTTATGGGAAACAATACAAAGGTTCAGAGAAATATTTCCATAGAATTTGTCAATAAAAACGTCCTCAATTTGCATATCAACTCTATTAATTAACTCTCAGCTAGAATATAATGGAAAGTCAATATAATAAAAACTGTTAAATTAATACTCAGACGAGCTTTTGTGTAAAGATAGATTATTCTAATAAAAAGTTATTATGTATTGTTGAAACGATTTCATCGGAATTGTGGGAAAAATCAATTAATATCATGCACGGTTTGTTGAACGATGCAAATAAAATAATTGGATTTGTAAATAAGGTTAATCGTGAACGAATGCATAGTAATCATGATAGAAAAACATTGGAAATATATTGTGGAAAGGCTTGAATGCATTTTTGAAATAATAGATCAAGTGGAGACATCAATCACAGTACAGCTGTAATAAATTTTATTACTTGATGTATGTTAGATAAGAATTTTATAATTAAATAACTAGGTGTAAATATTATTTTGTCTCAAGTCAAAGTTTCATGAACTTTCCGGTATGTGTTTGATAATAGACTTAGTCAATAATAATCAAAATTTAGCAACTTGAGTGTATTAATATTATCTTTGACTAATTATTTTAAAAATAATTATTTCACTTTTTATTAACAGCTATATATGCCCCGTGCGCGTGCTGTTTATTGTTAAAATTTTCAATGATTTTTTTATTCTTATTTTATGTAGGCCTATAACATTTCAGGATGTTTCTTAATACCATAAATTCTGCCACTGTACTCCACAATTCATTAAAATTAACAAAAAAAAAGTTAACATTTAAAGGGTATTTTGGTTTAGAATTTAAAAAAAACTAGTTTACTTTTTTAGATATTTTCAAAGTTGTACTATTCAAGAATATTTTTTAAATTTTAAATTATTTTCGGAAATATAGCCTTTAGACTACGACAATCATCCTCTGTTTCTAAACTTCTACTGGACCGATTTACTTGAATTTTTTACAGAATTTTCTATTTAGACTTTTCTTCGCTAATTATTTAATTATGTATATTTTAAAATTTAAATTATTTTCGGAGATAGAGCACGACAATCCCTCTCTGTTTCCTTCCTCAGCAAAATTTTAAACGCGTTTTTCTCGAAACTGTATTTTTCGAAACGATACCCACGATTTTTCAACTTCTACTGGACCGATTTACTTGGAATTTTTATAGAATTTTCTTTATAGACTTCTCTTCAGTATGAACTCATCCGCAAATACCGATTTTTACTTTTTTTTAAATATCGAGTATATCAAAAAATTGTTGTAAAATACATATTTTTTTCAGATAGTTTCAAAAAATTCTCCGAACTTCATACGATTGCGAAATTATTCTAGATTAATATTATATTTAATTTTTTTTTCGGATTATTTATCGAGCCAAAATTATGGATATGATCAAGTTCCAATTTTTTGAGACCTAAGGGATCTATCACCTTCTAGAATTAAAACTTTATGACCTTATCTATGTTTATGACTATTTAAAATTTTTATTTTTTTTAAATATTCTCAAAACAATAATTATAAAGTAAAGTAAATCGAACTATAGTAGAATCTTTGTTTGCCTTTTTTACAGCTTTTCAAACATCACATAAAATTTTTGCTTCTAGACCAGATTTTCCCCTAACTACGAAGAATCACACTGGTCTTTATCAAAATCTAATCAGCACGATTTCTTATATTTTTAGAAACAAATTTTAATTTTAATAAAATGAACAATTTTGCACTTATCTCCTAATTCTCAAGAAACGGCTGGGTCATACGATTTACAATACTGAGAAATATTAAGGCTTTCTGGATCTGGAATCATCAATCATATATGGGTCATTCTTCCTAAAAATTCTTACCAAAAATTTGTACGATTTGTAAAAAAATAACCCATATATCGTTTTTGGAGAAGACTTGAACTTCTTCAGGAAGTTAAAAATTTAGCTTTTTAACCACAGGAACCTAAAAAATCGTTTTACTTCTTGCATTCCGTCCTATTCAGTTTTAATAGCATACTTTATTATATCTATAGAAACCAATCCAGATAACATGTAATTAAATATAATTAACAAGCGTTATAATTAAATTGGATACGATTGGATACTGTCGCATCCAATCATACAGTTATTATTACCTACTATAGTTTTTTCAAGTTCTTCCGTAATACATTCACCGGTTGACACTGATCGTTAATATTTGAATAGATTGATCACAATCAATAGATAATTTATCCATTAATTATCTTTTAGTATTTGTCTCGTCGGTTTGAACAGCAGGCGTCCGTACATCGGGGCCTCACGTGGGTTTCTATGCCGACTGTACAACTC